CCCAATGTGCATAAGACTAAAAGTTCGAGTTTAAAGTAGTGTTAACTAGCATAAGAGCTTCTGAAGTTTAATAGCAACTCAATGCATTGACATCTGTTTAGAACTGTTTTTGCAGCTTTGGTTCATAGCATTTGTTCTGCAGTGTGATTTTTCTGAGATGGTTCAGTTCTTGTTTAATAGAAATTCAGTCTGTGGTTAATATGGAAACTCTGAAAATTAATTCCTTAGCCTGTTTCAGCCATTATATGTGTTATAAAAGAAAGAACAAATGAACAGAGAGTAAAAATGCAAAGTTAAGAAAAGAGTTGGGATTTAAAAAACTTTAATAAAAAATACAATATTCATGCATTTATGGCCAGGAACAAGATTGTTTTTAGTTTCTAGATGACATAGCATATAGTGTCAACAATAGTAAAGAAATAGGAATAGCTCTGTAAATAGCAGATTTTTCACTGAAGCTAAAACCAACCCATACAAATAGTAACAGAGGAAAAAAAACCAAAACCAACCCCCAAATGTACAAATTTTAGGTGGCTCTAGCCCTGTGGACTGAGTGTGAGTCATGAGGTTTGCCACAGTGTTTGTAAGATCATTTTCAGAAGCCGTGGAGCGTCCAGGTCCTCTGTTTTACCTAATGTCACCTCTTAGAAGAAGGAGCTCTGCTGTGATTTTGCTAATTTTCAAATAGCTGGATTGTACAGGAGTTGTATTTAATAATTATTTCTCATCAGGGAAATTAAATTTCCTTGGATTTTATAGAGACAATAATCTCTGATTTGAGGGTGTGTGTTCATGGTGGGAATGTTCTACAAGCAAAAGTAGCAGCTTCTGACATCCAGCGTATGAGGTCTGAGCTGAGTTGGAGATTTTGTGTTCCAGATCGTCCCACTTGGTAGCTGGGATCTTGCCTTTTTCTAATGACAAAACACCAAGAAAGAAGTTTGAAGTATGATTGTTTTCTTCAGAGTTACTACTTAGTAGTAGTATAGTAGTAGCTTTGTAGTAGTATGATTGTATGATCTCCTTCCTGGGATCCCTCACTAGACATAGATGGAGTTTTTCTTCATCAGGATGTTTGCTTTGATGAAGTAAGCCCTTTTGGTGCCCAGGATAGCATACCCAAACTAGCAGTCAGTTTTCAAATGGAATCAATGCAATCACACAGACCCTTGATTTCTCACTGATGATAAGGTTTTAGCTAGCAATGAAAATATGAATTTTAGCATCTGGTTCTTCTTCCCCATTAGTTTCATCACCATTCTGTCTGTTGTGCACACCTGCCTTAGTTATACATGCACATACATGCATCTTGCAGCATCTGACATGTACCACAGCTGCTGGGTATGAACTGCCTGATGAACTCGGGCTAGAAGCTTTCTTGGGAGCTGAAACCTGCAGTGACAAGGTCTGTCTTTGGCCTGCTTCACACTGTACATTTGCTTGTTCTGATGGAAACAAACACAATCACAAGATGCATCCCTGTCATAATTCTTGACATGATGAGTAGGGGTTTGACTCACAGGAGATTGTAAGAAAATAGGTTTTCTGCTCATTCAGTGATTTAGTTTTCTCTAAGTCAGTCTTGTGATTCAAGACTGCTTCAAATTGGAAGCAGAGCAGACTAGAGAAGCAGGTGCATGTGTGGCAAGGAACAACTTTGAAACTTTTTCCAGTCTGGGTGTTATAAAGAGACTTTAACTAAAAGTGATGTTCATTATGATGATGTTTTGTGCTAGAGTTTTTCCTCTTTGGTCCTGTAAATTTTATATCCTAGGAGAGTATCAGTGCCAATATTGGCAAGTTTTAGAGGCTTTCTTAAACCTCTTCTTTCACAGAAATCTCTGAGCTTTCTGGCTGGGCTGTCCTTTTCTACCCTAAGCAATCCAGCAATTTTCCACTCAAAAATAGCTATGGGTAAAGTCACACACTACTTTCACATGAGATTAAGGGCTTGACAAGGGTAGTGGGAAGAAAGAAATTCCAAATTAGGTCTGCTTCGTATTTAAATTCCCCTTTCCCATCCCCTTGTTGCACAATAGTAAACTTTCCTAATACAAGTAGGTTGTTGATATACTTCCAGAAAGAATTCCAGTTAGCTGAGGGATAGGATTAAATGGATTAAATAGCCTCCTCGTTTTTTGGTAAAGAAAAATAAAAAAGTTTGGTTAAAGGCACATACAAATGTGAATTTAAATTATTTTGGACTAGATTGGCCTCCCAAACTGCCTTGCAGATGAGGCTGCATTTCCTTGTCAGGGCTCTGGATGTTGGTGGTGGATGTGTGGGCATGCTGGGTGCACAGAGCTTGAGCTGCAGCCACAGCCATTTCGGCAGAGTACAGTTGTGGGCTAGGAGGTGAGATAGCAGTTGGGTAGAAAATCTTCAAAGAATGTAAAATGTCCTGTGTCAGTCTTCATTTTGTGCCAAACTGCTATGTCTTACTCAGCCAGACCCAAGACCTGGGAGGGCCCAAGGATCTCCAGCCTGCTCCTAAACTGGTGTTTTTGGTGGTGTCTTCCATTTTGGCTGTGTGATGTGGTTATGACCTTGTCTTCCTCAGTACAGACACTTGATGGGGTATGAAAACCATCATTCTCCTTCTTTTAGGTCTTCCTGTGGCCTTCTTTTGCTAAGAATTTATGGGGTGTCAGCTTTGTACAAAGTATACAGATTTTCCTTATCATACTCTACCTCTTAATGAAAACAGATTTCTCCTCAACCATATATTGTCTCATTTTTCTGACCCCTGAAGACAGGAAATAGCAGTATGAAGGTCCACACCAAGGTTTGGCAGCAGCTGAGAGCTTGATGTGTGGCAGATAACTCCTGGAGATGTGACTTGGATGTGGACACATAACTGTTTACGTCTTGGTTGTTTCATGGCGTTGTTTGTAATTCCTTGCCCTGTGAAACTTATTGGCCACTAGTTCAAGCAGCAATGGGATTGGTTTTTTCCTTGTATTTTCAAGAATCACTAAAATGCTTATTTGGCTTCTTTCGGAGGTCTGCTAATTTGCCTTAACATATTGCTGTTAGGAAGAGTCACATCTAAGAAGCTGAAAACAAATGCATGCCAGATCTCACTTAGCCATCCTGTCTAATTAGTCTTACGTATAAGCAGTGGAGTAATTTTGTATTGTGTACATGTTTTTTAAAGCAAAATTTTTGCTGGTTTTGAATTCTATATTAATTTAGAAAACATGCTCCAAGACATGAATTTGTTTCGCATTTGTTTCAAATTCAAATTAGAGCCCTTCGCCCCCAACCAAAGAATTTGCAAGGGGGAAAAAAATGGATTTGTTGACCTTATCATGACTGGATCTCATCCTGATCCAGTGCCAAATCTTTTTAGCATTGTAAGGAAGTTAAAACAAGAATTAAGAACTTTCTCTGATTACTGCTGGTATAGTAGCATTTCCTCTAACTGCAATGAAATGCTTCAAAGCAGCCATTTATTCAGGCAGTGTAATTCGTATCTTTTTACTGGCTGACTTAGATCTTTTATTTTACCATAACACTTGGGCCTGTGTCCCTCCCACTTGATTTTATTCACCTAAGAGACATGTCTTCAGAGGGTGCTGACTGATTGCTTCCTGGAGAGGAGGAGCAGAGAGTGCCTGGCATACCCCAGTGGCAGTGCCTGCCTAAGAGACAGGTTATCTCTGTGCCAGAGCTCTCTTGCTTGCTTTTTCTCAGTCTTCACTGTTTGTGTGGCATTCATTGAGTGTGGCTTTCCTTCTAGCTTCGTGTGACAGATTAGATAAAGAATGTGAAAATAATACCTCAGATTTTTAACCGTAAATTTTTAACTGTAAATTTTTGACTGTAACTGACCAAAGGGAAAAGGAGGAGATGGTGTAAAAATGAGTGTTAGCTATTTGGCTATGGGGGTACCTAAGTGCTTGCCTAGCATTCATGTCTTTGAAAATCTGCCCTCAAGGTAAATGACCATGCACTGCACACAACCTGTGCAAGATCTGGCAAACATTTAGAACGTGTTTGGAAGATTAATAGTGTCATAATTTTCCTCAGCTTGTCGGTGTTTGTTTGGGTTTTTTTTGCCCCCTCGTAAAGAAGTGTACTAGGGGCTCATCAGGCCATGCATTAAATAATTGAGTTGTTAGGCCAATAGGTTGTGCTAAAAGGTGTTACATCAGTGATTTCTTTCTCATCCCACTGTGCTTTGATCTCCTACTATAAAGCAGAAGATCTAACAGTAGAAACTTTTGAAGATGATAGATGAATTGTACTAGTTCACTTTTCATAATCCTTACAAAAAAATGTCTGTCCTTATCAGTTAGAAAAGATTTAATAGCTGTTGTCTCTTGAAAGTCTCATATTATCACAATTGCAAACTATGGTATTACTGTTATGAAATATTTTACTGGTATATTTTGTAATGCTGTTGTAAAAACTTTAGGATAAATTAATAAAGACACTAATAACCATGTTTTAGTTTTTTGTATTTTCTCAGTAAAATGTAAAACTTCTTTTCAAGAGAGCACTGTGCAGTAGTGAATAGTTGATGTCCTTATTCATGTTAATTGCCCAGCTTTAGTTTCATATCACTGGAATTCACTGAAACTGTCAATCCAAATATACTAATTCCAAACATTATGCATGGTGCGGAAACAAATGGTGAAAATCTTGGCTCGTAATATATAAAGTGCTGTAGCTGAAGGAGCCATTGTGACAGTAAGCAGTGTGCAGAGTACTGTTTGCAGATTTGAGGAGCATAAAATATGGCATCCTTTAGGAAAGAGCAAGTGTTTGGGCTTGTCTCTGGATGAAATTCATAGTTATATTTTCAGATTAAGTCAGTGAAGTGAGTGCAGTTTCCCAGGATTTCATCCAGCACAATCTTGCCCAATACATCTTTCATTAGGTGAGCTCCCCATGTCTCTGGTAAACCCTGCTCAGAGAAAATTGTCAGCAATACATAGAATTACAAAAAATGTTCACCGGCTCTTACTATATTTTCTCTCTTCTCTTTGCAATAGCTTTGGGCCAGATAATGCTTTATGTTGATGGCATGAATGGAGTGATAAATCATAATGAAACCATCCAATGGCTGTACACGCTTATTGGCTCAAAGGTAAGACTCTCAAATATTCTCATTTTATATGGTTTTGGTGTTCTTTAAATGCATTTTAATTTTTTTATGCTTTTAGGGTTTAAATAGACTGTGTGTTAGGCTCTAAAACATTCCATAAAATTCTGTGTGGAAACCAGGTCACACTGAGCTGTTAATTCTTTTCTACTGTTTTTATACTCTTTTGTCAGCACATACTCTGCTTTTAAAAGCAAAGATGCCCTCATTACTGTCTGTGCTGCCATTGCACTTGACCGTGGAGAAAATTTTTTGGTTTTGTACTTGCAGTTCCCAAGGCATTCTTTGGAACCATTCTACTCACCATTCAACATTGCTCAGCTCTGCTGAGCACTGGGAGAAGACAGCTGAGAGGGACCTCCTTCTTAAACTAGAATACACAACTTCAATTGGAAGTTACCTACAGCAATCATCTAGACCAAATGCCCAACAGCTTCATTTTATGAAGGTCATTGTCCAAATAATTCTGAAATGCTGACAGGTTTGGGATTTTGCCCACTCTCCAGTAAGCCTCTTCCAGTGTTTGTCCACCCTTTCAGCAAAGAAATATTTCTTAATGTCAAGCCTTCTTTTGCCTGGAGAGCCCCAGAAGGGCTTGGATAGGTCTTCTCCAGTAGAATATTGATTTATATAGTGCACAGTCTACCTTTAAGGGCATCTTTGCAGGAATTTGAAAAGCAAGCATAACACAGTTTCTACTGAAGTGCCATCGTGAGGGGCCATAGGATAGGTAAACACACAAATACACCCTCCTCCAGCCTGTTGTCTCTTAATAAGCTTTAGGAAGCTTATTAAGGCCTGCCAGGGGCTGCTGCTGCTCTTACCATGCAGATCTGTACATAGATATGCATGACACAATAGCTAGAACAGAGTATGGAGGCTGTTGTTTACAACTCAAAAGTTGCTGTTAATTGGTGGAGTTGAATCGGTAGTTTTAGTTGCTAAGAAATTTCCAGGAATGTTTCAAGTGTGTGAGTCCCACAAAGTTGCTGTTGGATACTGTAGTGACATAGAGATGCTGCTGCTCTCCCCTTTTCCTCTGATAGCTCTCAGAGCACAAGGAGGAAGAGCTCAATGTCCCAAAGGTCCTTTTTTAACTAGAATTTTTTCTACAATGTGCAAACTTCACTGCTGCATCAGGTTGTCAAGGCAAAGAACAGATGCTGCAGTATTGAAAGAACTGATTTATCTTGGGTCAACATACCTATATTGGTAGATAAGTAAAAGTAAGTTATCAAATCTTAGGCTTAAAGGGCAGGCTTCATGATTGGGAAAATATAAGGAGAAACTTTTCCCCCATTGTAAAATGTTCCACTGTTGTCTAGGCATTACTCTGAGCCATTTGTCCTTCTGAAACAGGGGATGTTGCCGCAATTGTAAAAGCAGTGTGAGACAAGAGAGAAACGGTTGGCTTCATATAGATCCTCATTTTCTATGGAACAGATAAAAGAGCAAAAAATGAACAAAAACTACTGCCAAGTTCGTGACTATTTTAATTCTCTAAAACACATAATGGGAGTGAAATGGGAGAGAAACATGACTGTATTGCTACCTTGCAGATTAAATTCTTTCTAGATTTTCTTTCTCTGAGTACTTCAGCTCTTGGATCTTTAATCTCCTTTCTCCCTCCCCCATTGCCAGCCTGAATGATTATCTCCATGTCCTGGCTCGGTGCCTGCAGCTGAGGAATGCAGGCAATGTGCTTTGAATAGTTTGGTTTCAGGTAGCATCAAAGTTGCTTTTTCATTATTCTTCGACTGTCTTGGAGGAGATCTAAGTCCCTGTCTGTGTGCCAGAAGTTAACCGAAAGTATGGCAGGCTTACTGTCAGTGTGGTGGGACAGCTGCTTTATTCACTTAAAGGTGGTTTTGACTTTCTGTGAAAAATGAAGCCCTGGAATTTGCAATGCACCTACAGTCTGATTTTCAGCCCTGCTATGCTGGTTTCTTTTCCACGGCAGAGATGATGAAAAATACATTGTTGAGCAAAAATGGAATAGTGAAACTGCCAATTAAGTCTTGGAACAAATCCCTCTAATAGGATGCAGGAGGAACATAGTTATTCAGCTGCCACAGCTGTGACACATGGTTTCTTGCCTTCTCAAGAGATCTGACTGGGTTTAATATACTTAACAGTGGAGGTTGTTAAATCTCTTCCACTGATATTTTTTATTGTTTTATCAAAATCTGTCGTGGTTTTGCCCCTTCACTGTTGCTTGCTCTGCTCTGTTTGCAAGGGGCTGCTGGCTCTGTCACCCTTGCTCACTTTGAGCAGTGGATTGTTGCATCACAGGGATTCAGCAGAGCACCTCAGGGGCTTGCATGCTTAGCACTGCAACAGCTGTGATTTTGGTACCCAGCTCCGAGATCACTTTATGCACCCACCAATACTTCTGTATAGGGATGGGGGAAAGACATGGCAAATAAAAGTTTACATTAGTGTGAAAGATGGACTCTAAGCAATTTACTGAAAGCCTCTCCAGATTTTTGCCATTGTATTCCTTGCTATTGCTAATTCTACTGCAGTTTTACCCCTCTGAGCATGGATGAATGCTTACATTGATAGGTTATCAGAAGTTGTTGATAATTTTAGTGCTATTGTCTATGTTTGCTCTAAATAAAGTTATTAGGGAGACAGTTACAATTCCAATGGTATGACTGCAGTGGCACTGTTGTCATTGTACCAGTTCAGAGGCACCAGCTGTGTCAGAGTGAAGAACTGAAAAGCAGGAAGAAACTTAATCTTAGATGACTTGTTTTCTATGGCACAGAAAGCGCCTTTTGTTGCAGATCAGTATTATATAATATTATATAGGCACTAGATTAGAAATGTGATGGTAGCAGTACCATTCTTTAGTGGTATTTTGTGGAGATAAGAGTATTACTGGCACATCCTAGACTCTTAGGCCCACTGCTGGGTTTCTGCAAGGTGTGTCCAACCATAAGTGACCACACCAGTGTGTGGCAGTGGGCTTTCACAGGCTGCCTGTAGACTGCTTTCCAATCATCAGTGGCTGATACATCCCTGGCATAAAACACTGGTGGCATAATCCCAATTTAAATGTACATTGCTACTATTTCATCATTAGTTATATAGGCAGCAATTCAATTCATCAGTGGTTCCCTGTTTGACAAAGCATTCAAGTATGTACTCAATTATGGGTGTATGGTTACATGCTGTTGGCTTCCAGATAGCTTTAATACATAACTGAGGTCAGCAGTGAGCTGCTGCAGGCATGCAAAAGAGGGCTATAGCAGAGCCAAGGCTCTAACCATCTTATATAAGCTACAAATTATGTAAATAGGAAATACTGGTGTCAAACAGGTTTTCTTTTAGCATTTGGTGCTAGCATGGGACATTTGTGCAAGAGAGTTTGGATCTTAGAAGACAAAACTAGAAGTCAATTGAATGTTAGTTAACAGTGCTTTCAGGATTGCTCCCTAATTTTTATCATAAAAAAAAAAAACCAAAACAAAACAACTGACCTGTCAAGGATGATGCCTTAACTGGTCACGTGCTGTAGCACTCTTGTTTCAGCTTCACGCTGCCTGGGAGATGATATTTCACCACTTTCTCAGTGTTTCTGCCACTTATACTTTACTACTCCTGCAGCTGGAATTATGTTTTTGTGTTGTATTGCAAATATATTTAGGCTGGTTTTAAATGGTTTTGAGGCATTTGTTTATGCTGGCAGCTGGCACTGGAGCTCTTTGGTGGATCAATGGCAGGTAAATGGTGATAGCTTTTGGAAAATTTCTCTTAGCCAAAAGAAGGGGCACCAAGTTAAAGACATGTATGTATTAAGCCGTATTAAGTCCGTAGACTGTATTTCTCATCTGTAGGCATGTATAAGGTTTTATGTATCTATACACACATACCAACTTTTGTATGTGTTGGTAATTCCTCTGACCTAGTAAGAGAAGGTGTACAATACTTTTAGTGTATCAGTGCTTTAAGGCCTCCAGGACTAGCTATTGACTGTTTACAAAAAGTATGTTTCTGGACCATGGACCAAACATCTTGGAAAAAGCATAGGAGCTTCCATGTATTTTCTCTATATCTGTATCTAGAGAAGCAAATGTTTCTTTGCATCACAAACCCGCAAGCTTTTGCCAATCCATCTTAGTTTTCAAAGTCACTTCTAAGGCTTAAAGTGGACCAAAATCTGAGTTTAGTTTCACCTTTTCTTTCCCCCTGTTTTTTACTGCTCCTGATAATGATTATTTTTTTCCATTTGATGATCCAGGCTGTTCTAATTTCCCCCAGGGGAGCTAAAGCCCCTTTTTGGCATTGTTTTCAGTGGAAAATAATCCATTTTCAAAGTAGTTCTGGGTAACCTCAGAAGACAGGGTGGAATGCTGGGCCCAGGCTGATACAACGAGGTTGATTAAAGATTCCTATCTAACATATTGTTTTAATTTTTTTCCTACTTTGCTTCTGTCTGAGTCCTAGATTGCAAGGTTTACTACAAACTTTAACTATCAAGTTGTTCCCTGTGCCTTGTGTGAACCTTTTGCTTGTTTTGGTATTGAAGAAATTACTTTCTGAATGTTTAAAAATGTAATTCTGTCAGAAAGAAGCATAAAAACATATTTCAAAGTAAAAGGAAAAACAAAACCCAACACATTCAGCTAGAACAATGTAGTTTTAGTGGGTAAATTTGTTGATTGCAAAAGGAAAGTCATAGAATCATAGAACCATAGAAGTGGTTTGCATTGGGAGGGTTCATAAAGATCATTTAGTTCCAGGCTCCCCCTGCCACATGCAGGGACACCTTCCACTGGACCAGGTTTCTCAGGGCCCCATCTACCTGGCTTCAAACAAGTGCATTAGAGGCTGCTTTTTCTGCGTCATGCCAGGGGCAGGTTAAAGCATGCATGTGGCTGGTAGTCAGCTTATGAGAATTTTGAGAGAAATAATATTCTTATTCACAAAAAAACTCTAAATTATTTTTCACACAAATGAATCATTTAAGGTATGTGAAG